GCACGCACGGTATGTAGCACATATTTGTAAATGTTGATTAGGGCTCATTCATTTTGAAGTCTGTACACGTTTTTTATGGTACGGTTATTGATACTTTAACTTCAAATCTGTTCTTGATACGCTGTCACACAACTATTAGAACATAAAAACAGCATATTTTAGCTTCAAAATATTCGTTTTCGATGAAAAGCATGTTTTTATTAAAGAGACTTTACCGTATTGCTCAGTAGATCATATAAGTCTGTTCGTTATTCCGTATTTATATATAAACTAGCGATTTACCCTCACATTGCTCGGGTTCGTCTCTAGGTATGCGAATTTTGTTCACGTTTTGATTTTTTTGCATGGAACCCTAAAATATTTTTTTTCTAAAATAAGAGTAACCTAAGTTACTCCTTATAACATCAGTTATCTGCCAGTGATAGTCCCGTCAAAATCGATTTAGCCGTTTCGAAAATAAGCCGAAACAAACAGACTAACAGGCAAACAGACAAATATTTTATAAACATTGTTTTTTCTTCTCAGTAACGTACTATCATATTATGTGTTTAGTAAAAAACTGTTAATTTAACATTACGAACAGACACTTCAACTACAAAATTAGATATTTTGTAGATAATTCTCATATGCAAACTATATATAATGTTTAAAAGTTGTTTTGCAAAACTTATTTCATTTAAAGACAAAACCATTTACAATAATATTTGTGCAACTTCCCATAAGCGCCGACATGTCAATCAGTCCAATATAAATTATTATGCCTAGATAATATGATTGAAATATTGTGTCGAGACGCCGGCGCGTACGCAGGAAGAGACAGAAATAACTGTCTTGTCCTACATCGCAGTCGATAAACTGGAGAATACCTATTTACTAATTAGTAGACTTACACTTCATGGCGTCATAAAGCTCAGTTTAATTAAAGCAAGGGTTTTCGGACTTTCGTATTTTTAAAGTGTTTTAAAATTATCAACGGCATATATTTATTATACATATTTGATATACGTATTTTGGCATTTCGATACACCATTACTTAGATTTATGCCAAGTCCCTAAGAGCAATGCCTAAAGCTATCGGATAGCGTTAATGTTGAAACAAAAATTGTTGTTAACTCTGCATTGTGCAGTACGATAAATTGTGTAAAAATACAATGTACTATTGATAAAATAAAGCTTCAATTTTAATTGTTTCTTAAATATCTCTTTGAAAATTTCTCAGAAATAGATGTTACAGAGATGAATGAGAGCTGTTGACCGCTGTAAATAATGTAAACGCAATCATAAATTGCGAAAGATCGTACACTTTCGAAGAAGTCAGCCGCTATCAATTTCGACTTGCTAAGCGTCTATTTTAAGAAACAATATGCATAAAGAGCATAAGGTTATGTTTTTTATTGATACTTATTCGATAATGGACTCAATGGACTTTACTATAAAAGCTATAATTGCTGTGCACGAATGCTCTAAGCTCTTAAGGTTCTTAGCACCTTGATAGCGCCACCATTTAAGGATCAGCTAAACAACTGTTGGAATAATTAATTAATCCTAAGTCAACAACAATAATTACGTAAGCTAATTAAAATGCTTCGATAAGTATCATATGGAATATTGTGAGTTTATTTTCTAAGTATACTTATATAAATAAGATACCTGTGACAGATACGAACGATGATGAGTAATATTATTATATGAACAACGTATAACTTACTTCATAATACAATTTAATTTTATTAGTAATAATATTTAAAAGTCATAAAATAATACTTTATAGTTTATACTATAATTTTAAAGCTATACTGAAACATACTGACTGAATAAACAGATAATCGTAAAACCTTTGGTGAAAGTTGACTCTATGCATGTAAGAATTAGAAATTTCTATCAGTACATAAATACAATAATAACTTGGATAATATAGTGAGACGTGCCCATTGAAGAGACAAATATGGTAGCACCTCTTGGACTACGAGCCGCGACGTGCAAACCAAAATGTTTGCTAATTCTGCTCTACAAAATGTTGTAGTATTGTGAAAGATTATATTTTACAACTTTTACTGATGCTAGAAGATAATATTCTTATAAAGTTATATATCTTTTAAAGTTATTACACTTCGAATTAGAGTGAAAACCCATTGGTAATGTGCTGCCTTGAAAAGCCAATGAAACTGGCTCTAATCGGGTCTCGCTTATCGCCGTGAAATTACAACAAAAATTTCAGAATATTAATCCCTCCACGACCGCGGACAACCGGCGTTACAGTTAACAATAGATTTCTTAGAAATTTAATTAATTTCTTAGAAATTTACCTGGAGGTGGTAAATTTACTATTCTTCAAGGAGAAGCGCTTCTTTCAACTTTTCTTACTGTCTCTTATCTTTACCTATTTTTTATCAACTATGTACCTATCCCTTACAATACCTATAACTCCAAGAGAAATGAGCTTCGTTTCAGAATAGTTGGTTTAAGAAAAGTCCATATTAGTCTCTGAATCATTCGTTCAGTTTGTATACATTGAAGGCCAATTCCCCTTCTTAGAAATATAAATTTAATTCATAATTTAAAACGAATAATATATGCGTAACGTGCTTTATGGGTGTTTGTTTGCGTTATTTTTATGACTAAACTACGTAAGAGTTATTTCTGGTACTATAAAGTATCAAGTAATACCGTTGTTCTAGTTTTTCTTATAAAATAAATTTATTATTTAATAAATATATGTGTAAGTCTTATGCGCTTATTATTTCAAGAAATATAAGTAAGGCACGTAACGGCTTACAAGTTACAACTTGGTGTTAACACGTACTGGTAAAGGACAAGAAACTACAGTGTTATTTTCGTAATAGTAAAAATCAGATAACCGTGGTAAAACTTTTTATGACGGACAGTTAATTTTACTGTTTTTGGTTATTTACCACACCTACACAGAGAAAATATGTACTTTTTCTTAATTTTTATCGTTTGTATATCGCGTATCGCGTCGAAAAACAAATAAATTTTTAATGCTCTTCTTTTTATAAGATAACATTGTCATATTGACTATTCTCATTTAAAATTTGTTATAGCCTAGGCTTAAAACGAGCTGTGCCTGTACGCTTACACTTGTCTCTTTTAGTTATCTACGTAAGACAAAGTGGGACACACAATAAATCAGAGAGAATACATTTAAAATTTTACGACGAAGTGATTATATGTATGTACTTGTACCTAAAGATTATAGTTCAATGCGCCATGACTCACAGCTTACTCAGCAAAGAAAGGACATTAACTTAATAAATAAAGAAGATGACAACGTTTCGAACTTTCAACTTATGTCGTGTTTGTGAAGAGCTTGTTATTAGTCATTTTCTTACTCAAAAGAACGATATCCATGATATAGTATCTTTGTACTCTAGATTTAACACCTCCAGGTAAATTTCTAAAAAATTAATTAAATTTCTAAGAAATCTATTGTTAACTGACGCCGGCGTGTCCGCGGTCGTTGAGGGATTAATGACCATACGTGGAGCTTTGTCTTTCTTCAACATAATTATAACGGATTCGGCTATACTTACTGTATATAATGAAAACGTGTTTCAATAATACCTAACTGTATATAATTAGTTTCAAGACTCAGCTTCAGCATGACTCATACAAAAGAAATAAAACGTGATTGCGTTTACACGAAAGATGTTCAGAAACTGGACTAGCTTTGTATCTTAAAAAAGACTTTTAAATGTCTGATGTTAAATAATGGAAAAAAACATCTTGTTAACTTTTACTGAATTAAAATGTTGACAAACTTGTATTTAGAAGTTTATTCGGAATGAAGACAACGTCCTTAAAAAGCATTTGCATCAAATCAGCAATTGGCGACAAAATTGGATCATAATTTCGTATCTTCTGAGTGGATAAAACATATTTACAATTATAGAAACAATATTTAATAAATATTTCATCTTATATATATATATATATATATATATATATATATATATACAAATCAATTGCCGTTTGTTAGTAGTCTCGCTAAAGCTCAAAAACATCTAGACCGGTTTGAACGATTATTTTTTTGTTTTGTTGGGGGTGCGTCAGGGGCGGTTTAAGTATAAAAAAATAGAGAAATTCCAAAAAAACAGCTGGAAAATTGAAAAGTTTTATTTTGTACCTCTGTCTATATAATATATAAGTTCATCTATTCCATATTAGCCGTTAAAACGTCTCTAGGGATGAACATGAACGAAGTGAGGGTAATCACTCGTCAGTCGTAAGGTATTGTAATATAAAAGCTGAAAGCTTATTATATCATTTTTTTTCTTTATTAAAGTTTATGCTTATAATTTAATTAAACTTTTTAGTATTAAAAAGCGTTAATACTAATAGGGTAGCAAAATGATCTAATCACTAATGTTTAGAAAGTTTATAATGACTTTGACATACACGATTGGGTAACTAATGCTTAGCTCTCGAGCATAAGCAGTTAGCTAAATCGTGTGCTATAACGATGACGACACGGCTACTGCTCACTTTCTAGTTTATTTAGTTTATTTTTTCGATGCAAGCTGTGCTGCTGAGACCGGATGAAGATATTTTTTGTTTTTGTTCCAAACTCCACGGCCAACTTTTTAGATATATTGAGAGATTGATCCGCCTGAAATCGCTCGGGTGTTTTTTATAATTTGAAGCTCTTTTTTTAAATTGTGTTTTTTACAAACTTTTTCATAGCAATAAAATACGTAAGTGATACGATTTTAGCATCAAGACAACCAATAAGAGTCCTTATGATTATAATTTATGATCTTCAAGGTTCAAGGTATTGGAAAATTTCAAACTTACTACCTCATGACAATCGGACCAGCCATTTCAATACCTCATACAAATTTTAATATGCGTTAAACGTTTAAATCGTTGATATTGAAATGTGTCCGTAGTTATTGATTATAATAATAACTAAAATACACAGGTTTGATAATATTTTCGAAATGTATTACGTATTTTAACAGTAAATAATATTTTCTTTTCAGACTTCAAAAAGGATTGGTCGGATCATGCACTTTGGTGGCCTACACGAAATAAATGGCTTTCCCGACCAAAGCACACCCTGGACCAGTATGGTGTCCACGCAGACGCTGCCCTGCATTTCACGCCAATGCACAAACCCCTCAGAATACAATTACCTGACTTGAGGTATATAGACTGCAAAATTGACTTCTCAATCGACACATTCAGCGCCGTTGTACAACTCTGTAAAAGCCTTGGTATGTATACTACCTATATATACGTAAATATGCAACTATTTCAGAATATGTAAAACAGTATTAAAATGAATAATTTAACTTTTTAGGTATACGGCACCCAGAAGAGCTATCGCTTTGCTATCCACTCGAGGCTTCCCACTTAAAACAGAACTATCAAAATTTGAAAGAAGCGAAAAAGATAAAATCTGTCCAAGCACCAGACACAAATACATTTATAGCAGCCACGAGAGGCTCATCCAATAGCCTGGACAGGTCCATAGCTTGCCCAGCCACGCCGCCACCGCCACGTTCATTGTCAGCCACACCGGTGGCGTCACAACAGGTTGATACATTTGTCAGTTTAATAATGTAAAAAAAAACATATGTATGTAATCAATCATATATAACTAACGATTCACCCTCGCTTCGCTCGGGTTCGTCCCTAGCTTGCTTCCCAATACAAACTTTTATCCCCATTTTCAACCCGTTAAGAGATGATTTCCGGGATAAAAAGTATCCCAAAATCTGAAACTATCTTCTTACCAAATTTCATCTAAATCGGTTTTCGGTTTATTGGTAGAGCCAGAGATTACCCACTACAACCTTGAAAACACAAATTCACAAACTTTACCTCTTTATAATATTAGTATAGATTAATAACTAAAAATATTATTTATCGATATATTGTTTACATAATCGGACTACTATTATAAATGTGAATATGTATGTATTATGTGTATATTTGTTTGTTACTTGTTCATGCTGAAACGACTGGACGAATGTAAATGAAATTTAGTATATAGATATACCTACTATGATCTAGAATAACAACAGTAGGTTACTTATTGTTAGATATGTTTACATTACATATAAAGTGTAAGTATTTTATCAATTCTGGGTTTCACGGTGATCGGTCAGTAGTTAAGTGTTTAATTTGCACAGTATAGTGCTGGCTCATCTAGTATTGTCATTGTAGTAACAAAATAAGCCATTTATTCAACCAATACTACAACAATTTTGTTACATGTTTAGATAATCATATTATATTAATAAAATAACTTGATTTTCTTTCAGAATGGCACTCTCCGGCGCTACGGGGGTCACATTTACAGCACACAAAGCGACGGCTCAAGTGACGGGGGTTATTGCGGGACTCCCCCGAGGGCGGCATCGATGGATGCTTTAGACTCTCTCGCTGATCTCTCATTGGCAGATTCCCCACTTGAACCCGACAGTCAGTCTCGAGAGTCTCTATTGACACCGAAATCTTTGATGGAACGCGCTAGAATGAATGTTGGGTAAGTTTAATGTAGACTTTTAGATAATATGAATTTATGTTAACAATATACTCGTTATAGTGTCAGTTAGTAAACAATTCGAATTTTGTGGACGCGTTACCATCTGAACAAGTATTTTGTTATTGTGGTTATTAAGATTGAAAGAGAAAAAAACGTAGGTTTAAAAGAATGTTCATCAATATGGTTATTAAAACTATTCATAAACATTCATAAAAAACTAAGTAGGCTATATAAAAATAATAAATTATATACGTATATAAGAAACATATTAATAACTAAACCTATTACTTATACATACATAAATATTGCCACCAATATCCACGATTAAATATATTAAACAACTGGCAACATATCCTTGCTTCGCTCGTGCGTCTCATACCAAGCAGTACTCTGAAATGAAATTTCAACAAAATCCGTCCAGTCACTTCAGCGTGATGGAGTAATAAATTAACAAACACACATTCAAATCTCTTAAAAAATGTCGCCTTTATAATAATCGTCCGTTGTTTTAAACAATGTTTACTTTTACTCTTAGATGGCTAGATTCATCATTGTCAGTAATGGAGCAATACGTACGTGAATGGGACACTTTGCAACTGCGTTTCAAGTTCTACTCCTTCTTCGACTTGACCCCAAGAGCTCAGGACGCGCCACGGTTGAACCAACTCTACCAACAAGCGCGTTGGCAAATACTGAACCAAGAAGTACATTGTACTGAGGAAGAGATGCTGCTGTTTGCAGCTCTACAGGTAACGGAGCTTTTGAACACGCTTTTATTAGTACCTACATAAAAAACTTAATCCAGTCGTCTTCTAACGAAGGCGTTTAGATAGGACAATGGGGTGCAAGGCGAGGCGCGAAACAAGACGCACGAAACTGTCATAAAATTTGATATTTATAACAATACTTGCGTATTTGCGTTGAAAGCTTTGTTAAAATCAATGGGCGTACTTGTCGACTGTATGAAATTTATACTGTTCCAACTATGTAATCAAATCTTAGAATTTTAAATAAAAATATCGTTTTGGATTATTTCTCGAATTTATTTTGATTTTTAATTCCCGACGTTTCGAATTCTTCACAGCGATCATGGTCACGGGAGAGGGTAAATGAATTTTTGAAATCATTTTGTAAAATTGTGGGTAGAAACTGTCTGTAACAAGTATACGTATAACGCCTTTGAGACGTCTAAAACCTTTAGTCTCTCCCGTGACCATGATCGCTGTAATAATCCAAAAAGATAGTTTTATTACGTCAACTCTTAAAAGTCGATTTTAACCCAAATCTATATATCGCATGATTTGAAATTTTATAAATTATATAAGATCTAGATTACATTCATGGTGTCAAGAGATGTAGATGGGGCATTTGATCCGTTACGTCTTTATTTCCATATATTATAGCTGACCTAAAATGTGCGCATGTTCTATTGCTTATAAATTAAAGTTATACTTATTTTGGCGCATTAGGGAAAAATGATGAGAGTGATTTTTTAGGTTGCGACAGATTTAGACTACAGTATGAAGTTAGTCGTTAAATTTCCCTGTAGTCCTATAGTGTGATGTCTATATTCGATATATTTATTCCGGTATTTCTACATACGGTATTTCAACACGTGTTTTCAACCGACTTCAAAAAGGAGGAGGTTCTCAATTCGCCTGTATTTTTTTTTGTTTTTTTTTTATGTTTGTTACCTCAGAACTCCGTCATTTATTGACCGATTTGGACAATTTTTGTTTTGTTTGAAAGGGTATACTTCCAGATTGGTCCCATTTAAATTTCAAAAAAAAATACCACCCCTAAGGGTGCAAAAACAACTAATGATGAATTTAACCTACTTCTAATTGTCATATTGACTTGAAACTTTGCAAGTATTTCTATTTCCGTTGATAGTACAGTGGTTCGGTGTTGTTGACCTGATCTGATGGCAAGGCCAGAAGGTGGATAGGTGGAACTCTTCAACGGCTAATAGTAGATACTTTGAGTTTGGGCTTATTTTGTTTGATTTGACAAGCCTAACACGTTAGAATCCTTACTTTGCTACTACTGTCTACACTAAAAAGGGAAAAATAAAAACTTTTTAACAAAAAAATAAAAACCGACTTCAATCAAAAGCACTAAAAAGTAAAAAATAACTGATTGGTAGTTTTCATTTACTATACATACCTAATCAAATATTTTCGAAGTCGGTGTGCTTTGGCTAAGTAATTAAAGCCTACCTATTAAATACATACTTAATCAAATATTTTCGAAATCGGTGCCAGCCCACACAAAGCAAAGCACACCGACTTCGAAAATATTTGATTAGGTATGTATAGTAAATGAAAACTACCAATCAGTTATTTTTTACTTTTTAGTGCTTTTGATTGAAGTCGGTTTTTATTTTTTTGTTATATATCGATAAAAATAAAAATTATTGTATTGTAATATTGTACAGGTATTTATAGGCAGTAAGTACTGGAGAAGTACTGCTCTAAAATGTGTTGCAAACGAATGTGTGTGTTACTCTTTCAGAATTTATAATGCAGGAAATAGTTCTATGAATAGTTTAGTTACGTACTTTCGTCAATGCTAACTTTAAAATTGGTTCTCTCGTTAAAGTGCACATGCATGGTGTACTTACATCGCTTGACTAGAGAAATCTAAGGACGAATTTTTTTTTATATGTAGGTAAATCACAAAAACGATTAAAATTATTGTGCAGATAAAACACTTTTGTTCACTCTATTTTAATGTACGCTGATACAAAAATACTCATACATTTGTGTTAATTTTGGGAAAGGATCACTAATAGTTACACAGCAGCTATTATATATTATATAATAAAAATATGTATGTATATTTCCATATTCTTTTGTCCTTCTTTGGCTAGATATGTAATAAAAAGTATAGGTACATATTTGGAACTTAGCAGCAAGCAGAAAGCACGAAGAAGCACGAAATTAAAGTTTCGTATACCTACTCATAAGATACAGAATTGTATTTACTTTTAAAACTATTAAGACATCGATGTGTCTTTAAATTAAGTTTCTTATTGAGTTTAAATAGGATTTTCTATTGATTCAAGTAATTATTTTTCAAAATCCAGCTCCAAATCGAACTGCAAACGCTAGCCGGTGGCGGTATAGACGCTAACGACGGCTCCCACGGTGCCAGCTCCACCACAGCGCCGGAAGACGAGATAGACGCGGCACTCAGCGAGCTGCAAGTGCAACTCGAGGGCGGTCCCCCGGCACGGCCCGATATTACCCACGTGCCGGAGCTGGCGGGATACCTGAAGTATAGAGGGTGAGTGGGTTCGATTTTTATATTTTGTATATTTTAGATTTTTATTTTGTCTCTTAGTGGAGGTTTTATCAGGGAAATTCCGAAGTCTATTTTACACGTTTTGAATTTTTATTACTAATTATTGTAGGTAACAAATCGAATCAGATAATAAGATAAAGCTCAGTATATACTGTATGTATGTATATATATATATATATATATATATATATATATATATACATATATAATGTTATTATTTATGCTAGTTTTGTTTATTGAAACGACTCAAATAAACGTTTTCTTTATAAGAAATACATATACATATAATACATATATTAGTACATTAAAATTTAATATAAATTTAGTGTTTAGTTATATGTATTATTAATATTATAATATGTATTTAATATTGTATCTATTTCTCGGTGGCGCGCAGGAAGTGTCACAGCGATAACTGTATGATCTCGTAAGATTCAATTTTATTTACCCCCGTATATTGCATGAAACCAAAGCTCTCATACTTATTTTTAATACATATTTAAGTAAATAAACACTTCTATTATGTATTAATTGTTGAAACCCACATTCAAATCAAATCCAAATAGTTTTTGTACCCTATCTGTATTATTTACTTCCTTTTGCAATATCTAATGTTATATACAAATGTCTTTTTAAACCTTCTTTATTGACACATTAAACTTACCTTCTACCAAAATAACTTGATTTTCCTTTTAACTTCTTAACTCATTTGTTTCTCCGTATATTTATTTTATGTATGTACAATGTCCATATCTATATACTAATTATTTTACTGTTAGTAGGTAGGTATATCAAAATCAAAATAATATATATTTTACATATATTATACTCGTACATACTTCCTTGTTCTATAGCTTGACTGTAAATTATTAAGTCCTGGGTTCAAGTCTCGGGCCAATGGAATTGTTGGTTGTTTTTTTGAACAGAAATAAGAAAGTAATTTTCAACCGACTTCAAAAAGGAGGACGTTCTCAATTCGACTGTATGTTTTTTTCTTTTTTTTATGTTTGTTACCTCAGAACTCCGTCATTTATTAACCGATTTGAACAATTTTTGTGTTGTTTGAAAGTGTATACTTCCAGATTGGTCCCATTTAAATTTAAAAAAAAAATACCACTCCTAAGGGTGGAAAAATAGCTAATGACGAATTTAACCTACTTCTAATTGTCATATTGGCTTGAAACTTTGCAAGTGATTCTATTTCTGTTGATAGTACAGTGGTTCGGTATTGTTGACCTGATCTGATGGTAAGGCCAGAAGGTGGATAGGTGGAACTCTTCAACGGCTAATAGTAGATACTTTGAGTTTGGGCTTGTTTTGTTTGATTTGACAAGCCTAATACTTAAAGCTTAGAATTCTTACATTGCTACTACTGTCTACACTAAAAAGGGAAAAATAAAAACTTTTTAACAAAAAAATAAAAACCGATTTCAAACAAAAGCACTAAAAAGTAAAAAATAACTGATTGGCAGTTTTCATTTACTATACATACCTAATCAAATATATTCGAAGTCGGTGTGCTTTGGCTAAGTAATTAAAGCCTACCTATTAAATACATACCTAATCAAATATTTTCGAAATCGGTGCCAGCCCATACAAAGCAAAGCACACCGACTTCGAAAATATTTGATTAAGTATGTATAGTAAATGAAAACTACCAATCAGTTATTTTTTACTTTTTAGTGCTTTTGTTTGAAGTCGGTTTTTTCTAAAAACAACTTCAGGTGAATAAGCAGGCTATGTGTGTACATTAATTTTACAAATGTCATGGCGACGGACTTATCCTCGCATGAGTGGAACATTCTAAATAGAAATCATAATAATTAAATATCATAATAGATTCATTGTAGCATGCGCAGAATAAATATCCTACTATAGATTTCTTTGACTTACTGTTATAGTTATCAATGATTTAGTACCATACGCTCATAATATTTAGGTTAGCGCAGAAACATTACGCCATGTTTGTAAATCATAGGTATATTCATAAGTGAAATGGAACGATATGACAAATGCCTCCCGCACCATGCTATAATGAAATGGCGACTTAGGTTCCCTACAGTGATCCATAAAGCAAGTCAATGGCTACTTTTTTCTCCGTTCATTTAAAGTTATTGTAATTTCTGGAAGTAGGTAAATATATTTTTATTAAAATTTAAAATAGCCTATAGCTACACCCAAACTTACGAACTATACCTCTTTTTAATATTTAAATTATAATATTAACTTACACTAGTAAGTTAATATTATAATTTAAACTAGCGATTCACCCTCGCTTCGCTCGGGTTCGTCCCTAGGTACGTTTTGATTTTTTTGAGCGGAACCTTCATTCTTTTACTGAAATAAAAGTAGCTTAAGATACTCCTTATAACATCAACTACCTGCCAGTGGCAGTCCCGTCATAATCAGCCCAGCCGTTTCGGAGATTAGCCGGAACAAACGGACAGACAAGCAGACAAAAACTTTAAAAATTATGTTTTTCTTATAAATACCGTATATAATTCCATACGCATTTAGTAAAAAGCTGTTATTTGGACATAACAAACAGACACTTCAATTTTATTTATCTGTATAGATAGTAAGAGATATTGTTGTAATAAAAGGTTTGTTTTCCAGTCGTCAACGTTTCACTCTCCGTGCATACAAACGTGGTTGGGTGTCGTGTCGCGATGGCATATTGCGCATACACTCGTCGCGCGAAGCGGCCGCAAAAGGCGACACGCCTTCCTACGCCGTAGAGCTGCGGGGTGCTGAGGTAAGCTGTACCTTTTATGAGAAATGCCTTTGTGAAGTATTAAGGAAAATGAAGACTTTCATAAGGACTTTCGAGTAATCTCTTAGAAATGAGGGTCTATCAATAATGTTGAATACATACAAGATTAATACATGAACATTTCTGTAGTACCAGATAAGGGGTAAAAATTAACTTTTCTGTATTTTTGTTAATATAATTGACTGCTAATGCCCTTTAGGTATTATTTTACTTAATAATAATGTAATTGAATATTTTCTTTACAGGTAACTCCAGATGCACATCCGGCGTCTGGCAGATATGGCATTAAATTGGAAGTGCCCGCAGAGGACACTATGCATGAGATGTGGCTTAAATGTGAAAATGTAAGTTTGTTTTCCACCTATTTCTTATTTAATCTTGCTAAATTATAATTACGTTAAAGCACAGTCCAAACTGTTCAGTAAAAGCAAAACTAGCTATCTGTTGAGAACTTGTGAGTGACTGAGACGACACTCTACAAAACCGAAATTAGCCGATTTTCTCCGTCTTTAGCTCGATGTGTATTATTTTTACCGCCGGTTATTGTAACAAATATTGAGTTTTGGTCGGTGGTTGGTACGTGCAGGAGGATCAGTACGCGGAGTGGGTGGCGGCGTGCCGGCTGGGCGCGCGCGGGCGCTCGCTGGCGGACGCGGCGTTCGGCGCGGAGGCGGCGGGCGTGCGCGCGCTGCTCGCGCTGCAGCGCCCGCAGCCCGCCGCCGCGCTGCACCAGCACAGCGTGCCGCACCTCGACCACCTGCAGCCCGACAACTACCTCGCGCCGCGATACCTCAAGAAGCTCAAGGGGAAGGTGAGTGCCGAGTGGGACTACAGCCCTAATCTATACAGATACATATATAAAAATGAAGTGTCTGTTTGTAATGTGAAAATAACAGCTTTTTACTGAATGTATATTATGGAATTATATACTGCGTTTATAAGAAAAACGCATTTTGTTTAATTTTTGTCTGTTTGTTTGTTCCGGCTAATCTCCGCCTATTTTGACGGGACTTTCACTTGCAGGTAGTTATGTTATAAGGAGTAACTTAGGCTACTTTTATTTCAGTAAAAGAATTAGGGTTCCGCTCAAAAAAATTAAAATGTGCCTAGGGACGAACCCGAGCGAAGCGAGAGTGAGTCGCTAGTAGAGAATATGCGTGATTTTTTTTATATTTTCTACAATAGCTAACATCATTATATACTTAATTGTAAAAAATATCTGGATATTTTACCAAAAAACTAAAATTTAGTATAAAAAAAAAATTTAAACCATACCGATACCAAACCAAACCAATTCGCGCGCTTGGCGAGACGTCAAAGTATGATATACACAAATAATGACAACTCAATTTGTAGCGTTAAAATTGCTAATCGCTTTGTTGTGATTTATGATGATAATAATATATATAATACTTTGACGTCATATTCGGTCTGACCAGTTCTCGTGCGTTTCAGCTACTTTGACTTTCCCACCTATATTTGCACATTTTAATAATCATTTTCTTAATCAAAAATAAATTATTTTAAAAAATTATTAATATTGGCTGAATTCGAAAGCAATAAGATAACAAAAAAAATATTTACTCTTATTTAAATCACACGCATTTAAATCACGTTCGCCTTAACAACTACATTAAAAAAACAGGTGACTCTCACGTTCACACGTTGGTTTCTATTCGACGCAGAGTAAAAGTACATTTTCAGGAAAGTAATATTTTGATCATGAGTAAATCCGTACTCCCAATATCTCGTAAGCCAATTTTCGGGTGGCTATTACCACAATCTTTTTTGAGGCTGGACCTGCGCTTGGCTTTATATGTACTTGTGTAGTCTCAATGAGACTCGCGTCCTTACGAGCCAGAACTTTCAGCGCTACTTGCAGCCGCGGTTAAGGACAGTCTTCCATTTAATTTCACATCCCCAACTCGGACTTCTGTACCGATTGTATAGAAACTATAGACGGATAAGGGGAAGGTCCTTGCTTTGTACTTGCTCTCGGGTGGGGTCACATTAAGGATAAATTTAAGTGATCCAACTAGAAAATAGATGACGCGTTAGTATATATTGTTGCAAAGAATTATTACAACGGTTTCACTGAATACCTAAACATAATTGAAAATTTTATTATAATAAGAATATACGCAATCCATCTAATATTATAAATGTGAAAGTGTGTTTGTTTGTTTATCCCTCTTTCACGTCTAAACGGAGTGACGGATTGGCTTGATTTTTTGTGTAAAGATCGTTGGAAGGCCGGAGAGTGACATAGGCTTTTTGTCGCGGGAGATTATCTCATTCCCACGGGAAAACACGTTATAATACAACGAAAAAAATATTTATGATCAGAATTCCTTGAAACTTGGCATTAATGCTCTTTAATACAATTAAATAAATACGTGTAGTAGCATTTTTCGAAATTCATCCCATAAGGGGGTAAAATAGGGGATGAAAGCCGCGGGTTCTGCTAGTTATAATATAAATATAATATATATGTAATTTTTTTACAGTTCACACAAAGAGTATTGGAGAGTCACGCCAATGTCAAAGACCTTCCATTATTGGAGGCGAAACTCCAATATATAAAAACGTGGCAGAACCTACCCGACTATGGCCAAACGCTATTCGTAGTGCGCTTCATGGGACACCGCAAGGACGAGATCATCAGTATCGCCAACAACCGCATCATGCGACTCGATCCGAGTACTGGAGATCATATTAAGACTTGGCGTTATAGCACTATGAAGGTATGTTTGATCAAATCCATACTATATATAATAAATATCAGATAGAGTAAGACAGATAAATAAAGTTGAAGTGTCTGTTTGTAATGTCAAAATAACAACTTTTTACTAAATGCATATGAAAGTATGCGGTACATATAATAAAAACACAATTTTTGAATTTTTTGTCTGTCTGTTTGTTCCGGCTAATCTCCAAAACGGCTGGATCGATTTTGACGGGACTTTCGATGGCACATAGCTGATGTTATAAGGAGTAACTTAGGCTACTTTTATTTTAGAAAAAGAATTAGGTTTTCGGACAAAAAATTCGCACGCACCCGAGAGAAGCGAAGGTGAGCCTCTAGTAACATTATAAATATGAGTGCTTGTTTGTTTGTCCTACTTTCACGTCGAAACAGAGTGACACATCAGTCTCTCCCGTGACCATGATTGATGTAAAGCATTCGAAACGTCGGGAACCATATATCAAAATAAATCCGCGAAATAATCCGAAAAGATTAAAGATCCGAAAAGAGAGTTTTATTTCAAATACTAATTACCATGTTATGGTATGACGCCGTTTTTAATTCTATAAGAAATATTGTTATAAGAAGCTTAACAATTTCAGGCCTGGAACGTGAACTGGGAAATAAAACACATGATGGTACAATTTGAGGAGGGCAACATTATATTCTCAGTACAGTCGGCTGATTGCAAAGTGGTCCACGAATTCATTGGAGGCTATATCTTCCTATCCATGCGGTCTAAAGACGCAAATCAAAACCTTGACGAGGAACTATTCCACAAACTGACTGGAGGATGGACGTAAAATTAAAACAAAAAAATACAATATACAATAATTTATTTATTATCGGGCAACACCCGATCTTAATAACACAGAATATATTTTTTCGGAATATGCGGTGAATGTGCCTTGAAATTCTAACATGCCTATGTATGTATTTTTTTAATTTTAGACATGTTTACCATATTTTTTTAAGTTTTAAAATAAATTGCACAATAATTATTAAATAACTATTTTAAAGTCGTCACATGAAAGGTTTAAGAGACGGTATTTTTCTAATAATATAATGAATTTAAATATTTTATTCAATATAGATCTTAATAGTAGTGCTTCCATAATATACGCATATACCATTGCCAAATGTAATTTTGAATTTCTAATCTTACTTATGTGATACCTTATACCTACCTAATATACCAGATACATGAAAACATGTATTTTTTTAAATCTAAGCACTTGCAATTGGGTACAACATCGATATATTATATTTTTAATTAATATTATATCAAAGGTGTTATCATAGAACTTAGTATCATATCACATAAGTAAGAATTGGCCTCTTCGGACTTTATAATATGCAGTTCACTACATCACTATGATTACTGTATTTAATGTCAATTACAATAATATTAAGAATATGCATTGGACAAGAGCTTTTATATCTTAGATTTTAATTTTAGATAAACTGCCACTTATATTAGTTCAATAAAAAACCCATTTATAAGTGCCATTTGCAACAACAATAGTTAAATAAGTTTTGGCAATAATGTTTCACTTCTGATGTAACAATTTTTATATGAAAATGAAGTTAATATTTACATGGTGCTTTATAAATATATAGACATAACAAGTGGCCTTAATGTTTATAAGAGATTAATATTCGCTTTTGCTATTTAAGTTTTATTTGTAAATAACACTTGGCCCGGGGATATATATATCAATAATTCCACAAATATACCATTTAGAGAGTGGGTTCGACTCCCGCGGAATTTTTGATGTGATTTGTAAATTACATTAGGTTAAACAGTGTTAAATAAAAAAATATAAATTAGATGGCATATTGAATGATTCCCTTGTATACCTATGAAATGCAAAGATTTATTATATCAATTGTTGACTACTAGTCTCCCAACTGCATGAAATGCTGTCTAAATATAACGTATTAACATTCAACATATTTTACTATAGTTTGTACAAAATGTATGTACACTAATAAACAAAATTAGTATGTTTGTAAATGACTGTCAAAATAAATGTTAATGAATAACAGATGCAGTTTATTTATTTTGTTCTTACATTACATGACATATTAATATTAATAAGATGAAACTTAAAACTAAAATTAATATATTTATTACATGTACTAAGGGTTATTTAGCTGTTTATAACAATATTCATAAAAATTTTTTACATTATATCTATTACAATATATTTAATTTGGATCTGTATATCTTGTTAAATATTTCTGGTGATATTGAGACAGTTCCAGACACAAAGGAGGTAACGTCATAGCCAAAGAGCAGGAACCGGCCACATCATTCACTCTTAATGACGTGTTTGTTTGCTTAAACAGAACCACAGGTTTCTTTTCTTTACTATCATCACTGAATTGTTCAACTGCCAATATATCTGACTGTCCACATACTGTTCTTGTGAAAACTATAAGCTCATTGCCTGAAAACCATATATATTTACAATTAAGACACAATTATTGAGCAACATGCATTCATGTATAATAAAAAGAAGCGCTTACCAATATTACACAAAGTAGCTGGAAGGCTTGAAAAATATGTTATTAATTCCAACCTTTGATCTACATCTGGTCTAAACCTATACAGATGACTGAAATAACCCTGTATACAATAAATATAGTCTTTGTATGATCTTATACAACTCATTCTTATCTCAGTTCCCACAATATTTCTCCAACAATCTGAGGTACCCGAGTCTTCATAACGGAATATATTTTTTTGCCCAGCAGCATATACCATGTTCTTATGTGAGCAAACAGCTGGATTCTGAATAGCATCAGGCAATTTAGCTATTTTTCTATAAGCTCTTTGCTTTAAATCATAAATGATGGCGGTTTCTAACACTACCCTGTAATGTGATGGAAGTAAAAGAATAATATCAAATTATATATTTTTTACCTTCGTAAAAAGTATTTACATAGATGTTAAAAATCATTATAAAACTTTAAATATATATATATATATATATATATATATATATAATATATATATATATATATATATATATATATGAACTTTTAATTGAAAACTTTCATACAGAACAATCAAAAATAAAAATTTATGGAGTAATTATTTAAAAAAAGGCAAGCAAGCATGTTGCTCTAAATTTATTATATGTCAAATAAATTGTATAAAAATCGGCACAAGTTTAGTATTGGGGATGCGCCCCCTGGCGGAGTGGGTGGTATTTCTGGATAGGGGACGTGATAGGGAGTCCCAAATATATAAAAATTATTTTAAGGAAACAAAAGAGTCAAAAGTTATTGAGACTTAAAGTTACAACATTTCCATACATTTTCATACATTTCATAACCACCATTCGGAGTGGGTGGTATTTTTAGATAGGGGAGGTGACAGAGAGTCAAAATATTTTGAGGAAACGTATGAGTAAAAGTTATTAAGACTTAAAGTTATAACATATCTCACACATTTCCATACATTTCTTTACCTAAATAAGTGATTACAACAGATAAACATACCTTTAACGAATAGTACGCATCCTTTTTTATGTACAATACATATTTTCACAACAATTAATGCATTATTGTATTTAATATTTTAATAATTTCACAACAACACAAACAAAATGATCTTACATTTTGACAAAAGCAAAACTGTCACTTTATTTTACATTACCGCTTAAATGACAACAGATTATATTTGATTATTTTTGCCATTTCTGTTGGTAATATTAATAAATAAATAGAAAAATATTATTTTCATAAATAAATAAGTAAATAGAAAAATATTATTTATTTATTATTCGTCATATCTTGGTTAGGTTAGGTTAGAACAGTTACCACAACGCACGAGCCGAGGAGCGAAGCGAGCGTGCCGCGGTAGCGGCCGGCGAGTGCCATAAATGACTAGAAAACTAGAAAATACGAATTTCACGCAAAGTACAAATAAAGACAATCATCTGGAGATCATTTTGACAATTGAAAGTGACGATTTGACATTTCCAAGTGTCTAAATGGTAGTAATGTCAAAATAATGTATGGAAATGTTGTAACTTTAAGTTTCAATAACTTTTGACTCTTTTGTTTCCTCAAAATAATTTTTATATATTTGGACTCCCTATTAGCTGCCCTATCCAAAAATACCACCCACTCCGCCAGGGGCCGCATCCCCAATACTAAACTGCAGCCTAAAAATCATGTGTCATGTGCAAGACACTGACCTAAACTCACCTACTCCTCCAACAATATAGAGTGAGTCGCCAACGACAGCTAAGCCAGCATGTCTTCTTGGGGGTAAATCTACACCATGTCTTGTCCATTCTTGCTTCAATGTATCATATACTTTAACATCCTTCATAAATATACCTGTGCCTCTCCCATGTTCACCACATACAATTACTAATTTTGTCAATCCCCAAGAAATAACACTCCAACCCCATAAATTTTTTTCAGAAACTTCCAACCATTGCTCAAATCCTTTTTCATTATTATATGTGTACATGTAATGTGGTAACAGTTCTGGTTTAGAATTCTTGATGACCCACATTGGCACCACTGGAGTGTAACTCAAAAGACGAGTTTTACATTCTTTTGTTATATTTATTGTTTCTATCCAAACTCGCACAGTAAACTTTTCACAAAATTCAGATTTTTTATCATTTAAAACTGCTTCACATATCTCTAAGTTGTTATTTGATAATTCATAAAGACAATCTGCTACTTTAAGGGCTAAACTTTTTTCATATTCACTTGAACATTTTTTAATTTTTTCTATATCATGTTTTGATATCCTTTTGAAATCTAAGCATCCAAGAATAATTAATAGTGCATCAGCACCAGTTTCATTGTGTAAAATCCATTGAAGACCAAAATTGAAAACATCTAATTCACTTTGAGTGTCTAAATATGGATGTGATAAATACCATGCCAATTTATGTATTGTTGGAATATATTCTGGTTTCATAGATTTAAATGAATATAGTCCAAATGCAGCAGACAGTTGCTCAAGTTTAGAATATGAAGAAGTTTCAGCTATAGCCATTGTCTCCATCCAATTAGACTCACACATTTGTATTTCTAATGTATACTCAATCTGTTTGATTAATTCAATCATTTGAAGAAAATTTGCTGCTACTGCTATATCGCCAATAGTTGCCAGAGAATACTCAGATAGGTCAATTAAGCCTATATTCATATATTGTAGAACAATACTCATTGTGTTGGGATCTAGCATCTGAAATTAACAAACAACCTCTTTATAACAAAATATTTATAAGTTTAACTTTTTATGTTAAGTTATAGCACTTTAGAAAGAGAAAGTGAGACATAACCATCACTTGGAAGGCGTATTGATACTTATTATATTTTTAAAACTCTTAATTTAATTCTTAAAAAAGTAACCTCACATCAATAGAAATTTGGTTTTGTTGATCTTCCACGTAATTACCGCTGAACATTGCTCGAAAATAATCACTATATTCACATAAAATTTCTTTCTTAACTTGAAAAATTTTATCACGAATTTGCAATGATATATCCCCCATCTTTACTGAATTTTACTTATATTAGTTTTATATTATACTTTTATTAGATTTTTTTTAATATTTTTAATTAGTGATATAGGTAAATAAGAAAAACTTATGATTTCATTTAATCACAACAGTCAACAATTCACAAGTTACAACAACTGTAGTCTCTGTAACTGTAATCTGTGCACAAAAACTTTTATTTGTTATTTGCATGAACGAATGTCTCTAATTCGTTCATGGTTATTTGTTATCCATGGACCATGACATAAACACCGAAAGACTCGGAATTCGGAAAATCAAAATACCTCTATTGCAAAACTTCAAGTTTGAGTTTTGACAGTTGATGATTTATTGATATTTATTTTAAGACCACAGACTACTCACAGATAGTGACATTTAACAAAATGCTTAAGTCACAGACATTATAACCAAAAGACTCCGCTTTCATTAATTTTAGTACAAAAACAAAATCGCCAAAACGTGGTTGGGTGCAGGGGTAGGTCCGAGGTCGGCTATTTTTCATTGAATCTTTGAAACACATGCCAAAGTTAACAATAATAATGAAAACTCACTAGTGATGGACGAGACTCATATATCAACATCGATAATTGAGTCGAATCGATTATAATATATCAGGATAATAAAAAAACATGTTAATTGTTATACAAATTATTTAATATAGTGAGATTAGTAACGTCTTACTAAAGTAAAAAAGCAATCATGAGGACTGCCGACAGAAGTGAAAACTTAAAACATACAAAAACAGTTGTTATTTTTGGATATCATTTTTTTTGATTTTAAATTAAAATTTGGAAATTAAAACAACAATTTATTTTAATATATACATATATATATATATATATATATATATATATATTTAATATAATGTGTAATATATATATATATATATATATATATATATATATATATATATATATATATATATATATATATATATTTAACAAAAAAAAACAGAATAATAGCAGCGTTTTACCTACCAATGAAACGCATATTAATTTACTTACTTTATTCGAAGCTTACGTATTGAGATAGGCATTGCCGTTTCCGCCGTTTATATATCTATCCTTGTCTATCCGTCTACTGTCTCGCTCTCTACCGCGCCACCAGGCAGCAGAGTGGGGATCGGTGTGAGCGATTCCCACTCCTAAAATTATTTCTTCATTGAATCGAAACACAGCAGGCAGTTATTTAAAGTTAAGCTTTGAATAAGGTTAGCAAATTAATATGCATTTTATTGGTATGTAAAACGCTGCTATTAATTTGACTTGACCGTTATTCGAAGTTTACGTATTGAGACTTGTTTGTTATCGCCTGGTGGTGCAAGCGTAGGAGACGGACGCCAATGTGATGAAATAAACGCTGCTGTATGTAACTGAAACACTGAGATGAGGTTTTTACTAAGACCAAAATAAACACTTAATGTAGTGCTTTTCCAAAGTCCTTTTACAAATAAAAATAAATTATTTTGTAGATAACACAACTCAACAAGGTATTAATACAGCTCTCTGACCGATTACGGCCTCGGTCGCCAATGTTTCAGAAACCATCTGTTATGGTTTAAAAGTGTGTTCACTTAGCAAGACCAAGTTCATTCTTACTTCCATTCTCACAGTCCAGTGACCAATTTCATTCAATTAAGGCGATTAGTGTCCCCGATGGCCTTGCGTGTCTGGGCGGGGCTTAGCGCACTGCACCCGCGCACCCCGCAAAAAGCATCAAAAAAATCCACGCGCTAGTTCATCAAACAAGTCACGGGATAGATTATTGCCTACGAGCGATACAATCAGAAAAGCCTAGTTCGCATTAAGCTAGTATTTTAGTCTAGTAGCGAGTAATTTAGTAGCTAAATTACTCGCTACTCACCAAAAATCGTTCGCACTTTGGTCGAGTACAGTTTACAAGTGAGTGGTGTTTTGCAAGATGAACAGCCTACAACGCAAAAAAGTAAATAAACTGATTAAGCTGATCGTAATAAAATGTAAATTCAAAAAGTATAATATGTTGGTTTGTGCTTAATTTCAACATTTCGATTATACCGTTCTAATTAATTAATTAGATAAATACATAAATATGCTTTTGAAATAAAGTAATGAAAAGTAACCTGATGTTTTTAATTTTCATTTTAATTTCTTTTTCGCCAAATCCGGGTATATTCATTATTTTTTCCAAATCTAAGTATGCGGAATGTTTCATATGCTTATTTTTATAATGCAAGAACCTAATATTCCACAAGCATTCGTGTTCAACATATTTCGAAACAAATTTAAAGTCATTTCTTCGCTCCAGCGAAACGACATTATGGCGGCAACTAATGAACTCGACTAATTCGACAGGTTCGTACTTGTTTAGCCGGTGAACCAGTGAGCTCGGACGCGTGGTGGGGGCCGCTACTCGCCCAAAAAAATAAAATAAAATGGATTGACTCGCCTAAATTAATTACTAAACTAATCGACTAAATTTTTAGTGTTCAGACACGTTTAGTTACTAAATTACTCGCTACTAGACTAAAATACTAGCTTAATGCGAACTAGGCTAAAGAGTCAAAAAGATGCAATGCTAGAATTATCGTATTATATAAGTAATATAATTAATTATATATAATTTATTATATTTATTGTTTTGTATATATAATTCAGTATATTCTTAAATATATATATAATATGTAAAACCAAAGAATTTGGTTTTTGGTCATCTGAACGCGGGCGGAGCCGCGGGCAATGCTAGTATTAGTATAGATTTAATATAATAAACATTTTTATTATTTCTTTTATTTTCTTATATACGTAAATTCATTTCCTAACATGTAAAAGAGGTATAACTATAATCCTCGCCAAAGTTTTTGTCTGCTCTAAATTGGCGCGAGCCGCTGCGCAAAAGGAAACGGTAACGGGCGAGGCGCGCGGGAGTGGTGGGTCACACCCGCAGCGCCCGAGAGCTCGTCCAGTGTAGTGTCATGTCTGTACATGCACACAAACCACTCGAGTACTTAAAAATTTTCTAACTCCTATGTTATTTTTGTTATAATATTTAATTTATTACTTTTTGTCGTATTTAACTTTCGTTATTTATGTCTTACAAGTAACCTCGAAAAGGATTTCAATTTAATATTTAAAATGTGTGATGATTAAATGTATTTTATTATTATTTGTATGTGTATGTATTTATAATTTATTTTTTAAATTTATTTATTATTTAAAAATAAATATTATAATGATATTTATTAGAACTAAATAAAACAAATCACTAAATATTATAATACACATTTATATATTTATAAATGTGTATTATCCACTCGAATGTGCGAGGTTACGGTAATGTTACAGTATTCTGTCTTCATACAAACCGTCGGAAATCGAGGTATACCTACACGCCTCGAGTTCGGTATACAACCGTGCGTCGTATAATTGGAAAAAAAGTTTAGCGAGGATTATACCTATTCATATTTTTTCTAGTACAACTACAATGAATTGCGATTATATAATTTGGTACTTACATTACTACTTGCATTTTCCTAGCCCTTTCAATCGCATCCTTCTTTAATTTACGTTTTCGTGGCATTTTTACTAAATCACTATTTTCACAACTTATTAATTACAAAATATTAGTTCTACACTAAGTATAATTTTTAAACGTCTTTATGCGCGGAATATTTCTGAAATTTTTAGATCAATCACCAAAAACTTATTAACTATTATTATTATATATTTTATAAGAATAACAATAATTATACCTGCATAGAACTTAATTTTTACATTAAACTAATTAAAATCGGTTCAGTAGTTTTAATAATATGGATTAAAACGTGTAACTAAAACTGAAATAGTTTTAGTAATTACTCCTTATTACAAATTGTGTGTGTTGTTTGTCCTTCTTTCACATCGAAACGGCGTGACGGATTGGCGTTATTTTTTGTGTGGAGATAGTTTGAGGGCTGGCGAGTAACATAGGCTACTTTTTACCGCGGGATATTATCTAATTCCCACGGGAAAACACGTTATAACACAATCCAAAAAAAACAATTCTATTATATGTATAGATAATATTGAGAATATTCATTAAAAAAAGAAAAAGCTTTAACTACGTGATTGGGGTGTACACAAAAATTTATAACCATACTGATATTATAAATGTGAAAGTGTGTGTGTTGTTTGTCCTTCTTTCACGTCGAAACGGCGTGACGGATTGGCGTTATTTTTTGTGTGGAGATAGTTTGAGGGCTGGCGAGTAACATGGGTTACTTTTTACCGCGGGATATTATCTAATTCCCACGGGAAAACACGTTATAACACAATCCAAAAAAAAAACAATTTTATATGTATAGATAATATGGAGAATATTCATAAAAAAATAAGGAAAAGCTTTAACTACGTGTTTGGGTGTACACAAAAATTTATATCCATACTAATATTATTAATGTGAAAGAGTGTATGTGTGTTGTTTGTCCTTCTTTCACGTCGAAACGGCGTGACGGATTGGCGTTATTTTTTGTGTGGAGATAGTTGGAGGGCTGGCGAGTAACATAGGTTATTTTTTACCGCGGGATATTATCTAATTCCCATGGGAAAACACGTTATAATACAATCCAAAAAAATTTACATATTTTTTTAAATACTTATTGTAATAGACTTTATTATCGATACGGAGGCCGAATCTATAGTTTTTAGAATTTTTGTCTGTTTGTCTGTCTGTTACTGCAACACGGAGAAACCACTGAAGGGATTTTGATGATATTTGATATGATGAAAGCTGGTTAGCCGGTTCAACATATAGGATACTTTTTACCGCAAGAAAATATCTCATTTCTGAGAAAAAATACAAAAACTGCAATGTAAGAGTGTACTAATATGTAAAACTAAAGAATTTGGTTTTTGGTCATCTGAACGCTGGCGGAGCCGCGGGCAATGCTA